TCATGAGTGCTTGCACAGTCAGCTCACTGTCATGCTGATAATCACTGGGGTCACTGTAGTATTCTTTGGGACACGCAGCTACTTGTACCCACACACTCACACACTCATCTTCTCTCCCTCTATTCCCCCCACTAACCCCCATTACCCCTCAGTGCTGACAGAGAGCTTTTCCAGTCCAGGCCACAGAGAAAGGTCTCTCCTGCTGCCTCCCAAATGCTGACTTGCTCAAACACCCTGACGCTCAGCCCTCACTCTTTTCCACTGCACTGCCTGTATCGCTCCCCTCACCCCATTTCTGTGTCACACTGCAGCTCTCTCTGATGTCAAAATGAACTTTGAGTTTTCTTTGCTTTCTGGTCCCTGGTTCTTGTTCTGTTAAGTTGCTGCGAGCTTCAGATTCTGGTGACCCACACAGTGAGAGAAAGAACAAGCAAAGTCCACAAACACTTGTCTGGAACATTTAGGCAAGGGTGGCGTCTGGGTAGCTCATGCAGAATTTCTACATTGTGTCTTTCAGCACGACATACAAATTCCTCTGTGGACAGCACAGTGAAGCAAACATTTTGCATCAAAAGCCTGCCAGGATACAGATGGTTGGAGGGTTTTTGTTGAGTTTTCTGACTGAGGCTTCAAACTTTCTGTCACAGAGGAAAACTTTAAAATTTGAGCCATTTTAAGATGAACTCTGGAAAATGTCTGGAAAATTGGGTCTGGACATTTTCCAGACTTTTTCACAACACAGCAGGAGATTGCTCAGATAAAATGTGGTCACAACAACAGGACATAGAACATTCGCTTAAAGCTCTCAAATCTCGTCTTTCCAAATGGACATCTTCATTTTCACCTCTCTTTCATCCTGAGATTGTTTCGCGTCAATTGCATGTTAAAAACCTCCTCAACATTTCCCGGGCATTTTACTCGGCGGCTGGGAGGAAAACTATGAGAAAATCCCAGAGCAAATGACTCGGATAATTAACTTCTCACATACTACCCCACTGGAAAATTTCAGGAAAATGTGCTCTTATATTAGCTCTTATAATACACACAGTCACTGGAAGCTGTGGCAGGTGTGTTAAGAGTTGCTGCACTCCTGTGCTGGACTTTCCGTGTGTTTCCAGATATTCTGTTTTGTGAAAGTCACTTTTGAACGATTGTTTATATGGTTTTATTTTTACTGGGCCTGGAGAGGCAGGCTGCTCCCTTAAGCTGACTGACGCTCTCAATGCAAGACGGTATATTGATCGTCTTTCCTCCAGCCTTTCACACAGCCTTGCTGAGGACACATTAAATGTGTTATAAGTCATTAAGAGCTCCAGGCCTCAAATCATACCTGTCTAACTTAAAATATATTGACACATTGTGCTCGCACAAACTTTTTATTTTTTGAGGTAGCCTCTGGGTGTGTGTGCTGATGCCGGTGCAGAGGGTGTGAGAGCTTGTGCGAGCGAGTTTGTTTATGTGACTGTGTCTATACACAGTATCTGTACGGTGCTGAACACTGGGGAGCATGTGTTGTGTGGGGGTTGTGTTGGGAACACGCAGAGACATTGTGTGTGTGTTTGTGTTCTTGCATGCAATTGTGTTTCTGTGTGTGTGTGTGTGTGTGTGTGTGTGTGTACACAGGGAGCAGGCTCGTCCTCTTGCTGCCCCGGGGGCTCAGAGCCCATTTCCTGTTGTGCAGTGTGATAAGTTTCCCTGTCAGATCCTCCCAGCACCACTATATTTCTGATAAGCTCCACTGCTAGTTTTCCCGACCTCTGGCACAGAGATCAATTTGAGATTGATTCAGAATGCCCTGCTGGGCCGAGCTGGAAGATCAATTTGAGATGGATTGTTCCCGCCAGGGGGCCAATGACACGCAGTGCAGTGCTCACTTGCTTTGCCTCCTTTGCTTTCTTCACCCCTCACTGTTACTTCTTTCTCCCTCTGCATTTTTTCTCCACTATCTACTCCTCTCTCTTTCAATTGTTTCACACTTGTCCTCTGTGATGTCGTTTACTCCGTGTTGCACCTTGCACATTTGCATCAATCCTCATCCATGCCTCCTTTCTCCCTCTCCCATCTGCTTCCCTTACTTTTCTCCTCCCAGCGTAGAGCAGTCAGTGTAGGGATAGAGATGACTTCATTAGCAGAGGGACCAACTCCTGCAGAGTGATAAGTCTGCAGGACAGGGGAGATAGCTCATGTGACTTGCTAAAGCACACAGCCACAGAATATATGGATATAAACTACCATGCACATATGCACACATAGAAAAACATCTTTTTTATTTTCTCAGTTATGTGATCGTGGTCACTGTTGCCATCATGCTCTGAGCTACTGGTGTCACCACCACCAGCTCATGACCTTATCTCCACAGAACATGATTTCCACCACCTCCCTCCTTTTCCTCATTCCTTCCCCCTCTCCATCCACACGTCTCCTATCTTCAGTTGTTCTCTGCCGTCTCAGAGGCTTTGGCTGTGGCCCCTGACACCAGCAGGTGCACTCTCCTCCCTGCTCTGACCTTTTCCCCTGCAGTATGTCCAGCTCTGACTGCACTGACCTTTACCTATAGTATCGCCCCTCATGTTGTCTCCCACAGGAACGGACCGGGGACAGCAAATCCTCTGTGCATCCATGCAGAGAGAAATCCAACAAACAACACGAGGAAAATGAAAACAGAAAAAACGAAAGTAGCAGTTACACACTAAAATTGCTGCTGGAGCGAAAGGGGAGGCTCATCAGGCTTTGGTGAATAGTTAGTGGGCTGTTTTGGGCCATGGCACAAGCAGAAACTGCCACCCAATTGATATGCTTGCCATTCAGGGTCCCTGGCTCACCCACAAAGGGATAGTGTGTGAGGACGCTGTAGAGGCTGCGAGCTTCAAACGAAACAAAGTGTTATGTGAACATATTTAAAGGCAAATATTTGTACTGTAGCTGTTCTACACTGCCACACTCTAAGGCAGGGTGAAACCCTGTCATCATGGAGATTTGACTATTCACAGCAACTGCATTTAGCTAGAATTACCGCTTTACATTTCTATGCCAACAATCATCACAGTTAAGTTTCCATGCATTTTTTTCTAGATTCATATGAGGTCACTGTGACCTTTGACCATTGAAATCGAATTACATTATACTTCAGTCTAAGTGACAAATTTGAAGAAATTCCGTAAGTCAGACTTGAGAGGCCATTTACATGTTTGTGAGGCCACAGTGACTTTGACCTTTGACCACCATCGTTGAGTCTGTATGAAAGTTTGTGTCAGATATAATGAAATTCCCATTGGATGTTCCTGATTAATCACATTCACAAGAACATGAGATCACTACAACCTTTGACCACCAAGATCAAATCAGTTCATCTTTAAATCCAAGTGAATGCGTGTGTCAAATTTGAAAAAATTCCCTCAAGGCGATCTTGAGATATTGAAGATCTGCCGGACCACCCGAAAACATAATCCTGTCGCCGGCACACAGAAGTAAAGATCATTAAATGAGTGTATCTGTATCCTTCACCGTTATTTCCTGGCTCATAATCAAAAGTGTTTTGGTCAACAACAGACCTGATACATTTGAACAGGATCACATACTCCATATCTGTACAATCTTATCACAATAACACCTACATTTTTTTAATGTCACACTCAAATCTTGTTGCGTTGGGAATGAGCTTTTATGACCTCGATGTGTTTCATTCTTGTTTTACAGTTCGTCATAATGGCTGATTGGCCACGTTGTGTCTGACATGGCCAGAAAAACACTGCTGCTCACAAAGCAAACACTGATACATTATTCACACAGGCCCAGAACTCTCTCCACACTTCATTTAACTTCATTTTACCAATGTGCAGACATAAGCAGAATGCTGTGGCTATTTGTGAAAAACTAAATGGCAAGAAATTCATCACTGTGAGCTGCAGTGTACTCTGAAGTGCTATAAAAACAATCAAAGTACATACTTCAATGACTGAATATGGTTTTTGTACCATTCACAGAATCACACAGCACCAGTCATGAGCTCACATCACACTCCTGCATGAATCATGAGAAACCAGCGCACATCATAACCTGACTTGGAAGAGGGTAACAAACTCTATGTTGTCTCTATGTATCTGTAGTTTATGGTTATTACCTTTGTCAAGGACGTTATGTTCTTGTCTGTGTTTGTTTGTTTGTGTGCAGGATCATGGAAAAACGACTGAACTCATTTTTTGTAAAGTCTTATGGGTGGAACATGGCCCAAGAATGAACCTGTTAAATTATGGTGCTGAAACAGGATTTTTTTTCACCTTATTCATCATTGCGAGTGTTTTTGAACATTTTCATTGATTTCTCACAGGATGTTCATGGATCCTACTGATAACAACCTGACATGTCTATTGGACTGAGTGTGCAATGTGGTGCAGAACCAAATAAAAATCAGAACCTGGTGAATTTAAATGTAGACTCATATAAGCACTGTTTGGCCTCAGCAGAGGTGTGTGATCTACTGAGTACCATCCTCCTTGTTTGTTTGTTTTTCAGCAGGGTTACATAAAAACTGCTAAACAGATTTCCACAACATGGGCCAAGAAAGAATCCATTAAATTTTGGTGCAAGCGTTGAATGCCAGAATTTTTTTAATAACTTTGTTTAACATTCCAGTGTTTTTTTCGACATTTTTACCAATTTCCCTGAGAATAATTCATGGATGTTGAAAAAATCCTGTTTAGGGAACTAATATTTATGAGTGTGTGTAATCTAGTGAATGTGCTTCCATAAGTTGACTGCTTTGGCCGAGGAAGGAGCTTTACTGAGTGCCATTCTAGTTTTATGTTTTTTTCCAAGTAACAAAATGTTGTACTAGTTGTCACATGAATGTGAATGTAATCATATCAATAATGCTCTATAAAATGATTAAATATATCTGCCCGTATGTGGCCTGTGTAACATACACCTCATATGTTTAAATAATGGTTAGAGCTTCTTAAAAAATACCATGATGTGTGTGTAGATTTATGTGTGGGTGGAGATCATGACAATCAGAGTGATGTTAGAGAAATATGTTGTTTTCTTGCTGCAGATTGCCTCCATTTGCCCTCTCACTGCCTGTGGTGGTTTCACAGATGTCAGCTGGCCATTCCTCAGGCTACACACACATACCCTTGCAGAGCAAAGGACACAGAGACAACTTAGATGAAGAAAACTTTAACTGAAAAAATACCGCATACTGTAACCTCACAGATCTATTCCCAATGACGGGTTTACAGATATAATCTTAATGTCACCGACTGAATCTGAGTCTCCCCAATTTTGATTCCTGAGTTGGGTAAATAACCAACATGTTTGAAACATATAGAGTTGTGTAGAACAGTGATTAGTAAACAGCAACTAGACAACTAGAGTGAGCTAACTGGGAAGGGGTCATCAACCGCACGTTTTGCTTTTTTGGGATTACAACTGAAACATGGCTTCTTACAGGGTAAATAAGATTATTTCCCATTGCAAGTTGTTCGTGCAAAACAAGAGCAATGAGTTAACGATACCGGCAGTCCACCTCCATGTATATTTCTATTCTGAAGTCACGTTGATCAGGCCCCTCACAGTTTGGATCTGACACTTTGTCCACTCTTCCAACTAGATCTGACTTCATTCTCTAACCCTGTATGATCATCTTCTATTCTTCTATTCGACACATTTCTAGATCTCAGCAACTCCCTTAATGAGTACACAGTTATTAAAAGCAATAAAAATAACGGACAACCATGACAATAAGACCCACACTGTTATCTTTAATTACTCGCCCTAGCATGAACGCCTGTGACCCATTTCCTGTCACCGTCTTATCATCCTTGTAATATCTCTCATCAGATTAGCCTTCAAGTTGTGTCACACTGTGTATCACATAGGACAAATCACCCACTGCTCCTGACAACTCACACCATGATGCCTCCACCTCTCCTGCCCCCATCAGCCTCTTTGAGCCCATTTGACAGATGGTTCTGCTGCAATGTTTCCGTCCCAACTCAAACTCGCCTCTGACCGGCCCCGCTGACAATTAAAACAGATGAGAGAGAAAATTAAAAGAAGCAAGTGCATGGAGAAATCAGACCAAAATACCAGAGACCAGATGCTCACAACACACTCTGTCACTCAGTGTTCAGGCGAGTCCCCTCTCCGCCCTCTATCTGCCTTGCTCCTGCTCGTCTCCACTGAGACGCAAAGTAGAGCAGTTAAAAAATGAGCACTGTAATAATCAAGACACAGACTGAGCATTTAAAATGATGAAGGATACGACCATGAGTGGCTCAGATTTAATGTCTGAACAAGGCCGATACTTGTATACACACACAGGGTTGCACCGTTGTTGTAATCAGTGCAGCATTATGCCTTATTAGCCTCATACGAGCTATGTCTGTTAGCTCGTATTAGGACCAAGCTTTGGTCCTCATGAGATTTACTGGTCCTGACATGGTCAGTGTATGAACTAGAAAAAGCCCAAGTGAGGGAGCAAAAAAACCAAACACACACAGACACACACA